AAAGTACTGGTTCGGGGCGCCTGGGTGGCTCAGTGGGTTGAGCATCTGACTCTTGGTATCGGCTCAGTTCATGATCTCACAGGTCGTAAAATCAGGCCTCATGTCTGGCTCTACACTCACTGGCGAGACTGTTTAGGACTCACTCTCTCCCTCTGCCCTTCCCCACCGTCATGCACTCTCCTGTGCATGCTCTATTTAAAAAAACAAAAAAACAAAAAAACTTTTAAAAAGATGCCCCCCAAAATAAGTTTATTTACCATAACTATAAATATCGTGTTGTGAAATTTTGAGGCGTTCTAGTATAGACATTTACTGATTCTTGCACAAACAATATAAAAATATTTAATAAAAGAAAAAGCATGAAAGAATATTATTTTAGAATATTATCAAGGGGGAGGAAAGCTAAAAGTGAACCAAAAAATGATGATCAAATAGCTTTAAGAACTAGAAAGATTTGTGGCAAGATGAATTGATACCTTACTTTCAAGGATGCTTAAATATCATCCTTTTCAATACTTTACACATTCTTTCCATAACTTCAAATAAACTGCAAATCTGCTAAGTAACTTTTTATCCTTTCTTTAGAGGTAATATAAAAATAGTTAACACTCTCAACTAGGAAGGATAAAATATCAACTAAAAGGTGGGAGAATTCCTTATCCAGACTGCAAGTACTTCTGGCTTCTGCTCACAGATAGTCTCAGTCTTAAGAAAACTATACCAATGTTTCCAAGAAAATATATAGAGAATTGTGATCTGAGGAAAGAAAATACTAAACATGCATAAGGGGCATTGACAATTAAGTAGAAAAAAAGCAAACACTTATGAGAATGTAAAAAAATATATAATAAAAATAACTTTCCTTTTTTTTTTAAGACTACATAATAACCTGATAAAGAGAATTCAGAAGACCATTTTCAAACCATTGCAACACAATTCATAACATTAGAGTCAATCTTTTTTTGGTGGCTTCCCAGAATACTCGCTTTAATTTTTTTTTACTTTTTTAATTTAAATTCAATTAATTAACACATAATGTATTATCAGTTTCAGAAGTAGAGAGGTCAGTGATTCATCAGTTTTATATAATACCCAGTGCTCATTATATCACGTGCCCTCCTTAATGTCCATCATTACCCAGTTACCCCATCTCTCTTCTGCACCAGCAACCCTCCCTCAGTTTGTTTCCTATGATTAAGAGTCTCTTATGGTTTGTCTCCCTCTGTGATTTCATCTTGTTTTATTTTTTTCTCTTTTCCCTTTGATCCTCTGTTTTGTTTCTTAAATTCGACATATGAGAATACTTCCTTTAAACATCCTTGTGATTCTGGCACAAAAAAATCTTGGATGATAACGGTCTTTAGGTCAAAGGCACTTAACGGTTAAGAAGTAGCACATTGCATGTGGGGGGTTGAGGGGGGGAGAGACACCTCCAAATGTCCTAAAATGATTTCAGCCAGGCCAAACCAGGATTCAAGATGCCAAAAAATAAAAATGGATACAATAACCTCCCATTTCAATGAGAGAAATTCTGGTTAAGCTGCAAGCTATTAGGAACAGCAAATCCAACTGGTACTCTTCTACATTCATGCAAATGGCTGATACAGACATTCCTTATCATAACAGTATGGAGAAACACTATTATTTGGTATACAATTTACTGGCAAAATTAACGATTCAATGGCTTTTTTTAACTTTCATTTCCCATTCCCTTCTTATTCCCTTTCTCCAACCTCAAATACCCCAGGAATCTTTTATAAAGAAAAGGAAAAATAATCTAAAGTGACAGTAGGTATTGGGGCATATGCTCACAATTTGACAGAGTATTTCATCAGAGGCAAATAGTTACCAAAGTTAGCTATAAACTAGGACCTACATTTCCTCACCTAGTAAACTACTATCTCAAAGATTTTAAACATGTTTTTTACTCATTTCAATTTTATGCAGACAAGTTACAACAAACTCACTTTTTCACCACAAAAATTTATTCTGAAAAGCAATCCTGAAAAATAACTAACCTAATGGGACACAGCAGCTGTTTCTAAAGTGATTTTTCCATCTTTTAAAAGCACACTGTATCTTTATGGTAAATTTTAAAAGAGTATTTAAAATCACAGTGGCTTTGGCCAAAAAAATCTTGATGTTGTCCTACACATCTAGTATCTATGCTGCAATAATGTATTTCTGTACTCTCTTTCCATACAGGAACAAAATCCACAAATATATCTGTAACGTTCAATGACTTTTCTTCTGTACTTCAAAAAAGAACACTAAATGCTACTTCCACAAGCAAAATGTTACTAGTCTTTCCTTTCAAATGATGCTAAGGAAATTAAGAATATGGGGATGGGTGCGCCTGGCTGGCTCAGTGGGTTAAAGCCTCTGTCTTCAACTCAGGTCATGACCCCAAGGGTCCTGGAATTGAGCCCAGGCTGCTGGAATCAAGCCCCGCATCGGGCTCTCTGCTCAGCACAGAGCCTACTTCCCCATCTCGCTCTTTCTGCCTGCCTCTCTGCCTACTGTGATCTGTCAAATAAATAAATAAAATCTTAAAAAAAAAAAAAAAGAATATGGGGATGAAGATAAAGGGGAAAAAAGGAGTATTTTCTTTACACGCTTGAAAATACCCTCCTAATATTTTTTAAAGCAAAAGAGCAAAAATGACAAAGCTAAATAAAAAGTAAATGGACAAAGATCACCATGGAAACAATAAATAATTATTACTATAAAAAAAATCAAACTACAAGTAAAACGAAATGCAAAGAACACACCTGAACTGCCTTCACTGGTAATTTTTAAAATTTTGTATTTAGTCAGGGACACAAGATGGTTGAGTATCTGATGTGAGCCCCTTTACTCAAAGGTGCCTGGCTTTGTCCCAAAGCCACACTTTACTGAATTATAAGGGGAAGCTAGCTCTATATGGAGATAGTCATCAATCTAATACACATTTTGTCTCATTGCTATTTTCATCTTTACTATAAAACTTAAACTCTCACCAGTAAGGAAGCATTTCTTCATATATGTGTAATTGTAGACATGCAGAGTAAAAAAGTTACAATATGCTCACTTAATGGCAGACATACTATTAAAAGTTGGATAAAAACCAAATTTACCAATATTTTTTTCCTTGTAAAGACCCAAAATGTTTGACAAATTCCAAACTTTTAACAGATACAAACTGCCACGTTTCCCAACTCCCCCAGTTCCCTCCCAACTATCCCCAAATTTAAGCATAAACGTAAAGAACTAAAGCCTAACTATGATTGTTTTCTTGCCCAAGTAGCATAATGAAGAGAAGGTGAAATCTAACAAAGAGTCTCTCCTTAACCAATCTCTAGCTATAGGCTCTTCTGAGCCCTCTTCTCAACTAGGACTCAACCTTGACCTATAAAAACTATAAAAACTACAGACTCAAGACAAATGGTTTCATCTAGGCCTCCCCCAAACATTAAATATTTAAACAAACACCAACACATTTTCTAACAACTCAAGGCCCCATCCCCAGGATGACCTTAGCCCCTCTTAAAGTGCCTGCCTGAGAAAGCCCAAGGCTACCAAAAAATTAAAAGTCTTTCTAGCTGTTAACACCTGTCTACAAGCCTCTGACCACCCTATCTTAGACCATTTACTATTTGCAACTGAATCCTTCCTCTGTCCCTTTGAGATGCACATGCAACTCCTAAATCTCAGGAATCCCTATCTCAAGGACATGAAAGCCATTCCTTCAAAATCTAACCATCAAGAATGGTAGGGCCTAGGTTTATTAAAAAAAAAAAAAAGAAAAGAATGGTAGGACCTCAGTCTCTCAGTCTCAGTAGCATAGAATCTAAACTTCCAGGACATCAGCTAGTAGACACAACCAAACTAGTCATCACTTACACTGACAAACCCTTTATAATTCTTTACTTCCCTGACTCTACTGAGCCAAGCTAGCAACTAGCTAGCTCATTCTCCATTCTCCCTCATTCTCCTCATTCTCCATTTAAAATGCCCAGGTACCTCTGCACAAACTGAAGCTGTATTCAGTTCAAACTGAACTCTGCCCTATTGCTATACATTCCTGATCAAAATCTGTCCTGCATCCAGCTTTATCTTTGACAAAATGACTAGAAAAGGAAGATCAAACATATCTCATTGGGGTGCCTGGGTGGCTCAGTGGGTTAAAGCCTCTGCCTTCGGCTCAGGTCATGATCCCAGGGTCCTGGGATCAAGCCCCACATAGGGTTCTCTGCTCAGCAGGGAGCCTGCTTCCTTTCCTCTCTCTGCCTGCCTCTCTGCCTACCTGTGATCTCTGTCTGTCAAATAAATAAATAAAATCTTTAAAAAAAACATATCTCATTAAAGACTTAGTTATTTCATATGAGATCATTAGATATAAAATTCTTTTTTAAAAATGAAAGTTTAAGTTCATGAAGGAGTCATAGTTTATGGAGTCAACTAATCAGCATTTGGGGGGGGTGGAAAAGGCCCTTGACAAACATCAAGCTCAAGCCCTTCATGTTACAAATGATGACTCTAAGGTCCAAAGAGATTAAGTGATTTACCCAACGTAATTTCAACAAGGGAACTGGATTCTAGGGCTAATTCAACATGATTCTCTTCCTGACTCCAACATGAAAATATCCTCTCTCTTGTATTCTCATTGGTAAAAGCAATATTCACTACTAATATTTCAAGTCAAGATCAGAGATGAACATGTTGTTATCCTACTACAACACAAGTTTTTATAGTTTCACTATATGCCCACCACCGTACATTATTAAAGTCTGCTTGGGTGCAAGTACACAGACAATTTTATTTCACTCAGGGAAGGCTGTTTCAATTGTCCTAGGGAAATATATGAAGTACCTTGGTAAAGAGAACTACTTTCACATATATGCAAAGGAAACAAAACCCCATGCATAAACACAAAGGAAGACCAAATAACTTAGATGGTCTTAAAAACAATTAAAAGAAGAAAAACTAAAACAAATAAAAAATCCTTTTTCTGCACTTACCAGCAAAGCATTTGGAACAGAGATTCATAGTCTTGCTGGACCTGGGGCAAAAAAAAAAGAAAAAAAAGAAAGAAGAGCTAAAAATTCAGTATTACTCTAATGAAAACATAAAGATGTTCGAAATTAAGCAAGAAATCTCCTGGGTCAGGGGATTAGCTAAAAACTAATGCTAATTAAGTCCCTAACCAGCGACCCACTCCCACAAGAAAATGAAAACAAACAGAACAACAAAAACTAACACACACTTTGTTATCAGTGCATCAAACAATGCTTTATTTTTTGTGAAGAGCAAAATTCAGAAATTGCATAGCATCGAGATCAGAATTACTCTAACATGCCCAGATGACACAGGAATCATTTTGTCCCATAAGATTACCACATTCCCTCTGTTCATAATGGAACATATACCACAAGTGAAGGTATCACTACAAACAAGGAAAATTTTGTCTGTAAAGGAGTAAATCTTTCTACTCAGATACACCCTCATTTATTTCCCTAACATTATTTGAATTTTTATCTCATCTTCTTTCCCTTCATTCTAGTCCTATTTCAGATCCTGATCACATTTTGACCCTGTTGTTTAAAATTCTTTCTTCAGAGGTTCCCAATCAAATTATTTTTCATGTCCTTCGATCTGTTAATAATAGCTACAATTCACTGAATACTAACTCTGATGGGCACTTAACATACATTATCTTATTAATCTTTCCACCATCCATGAGATGGGTATTACTATACTGCTTTGTTTCTAAAATGCACTTTAAAAAAATCACATTAAAATTTCTACAACCAGGCTGGGGTGCCTGGGTGGCTCAGTGGGTTAAGCCACTGCCTTCAGCTCAGGTCATGATCTCGGAGTCCCGGGATCGAGCCCCGCATCGGGCTCTCTGCTCAGCAGGGAGCCTGCTTCCTCTCTCTCTGCCTGCCTCTCTGCCTGCTTGTGATCTCTATCAAATAAATAAATAAAATCTTAAAAAAAAAAATTTCTACAACCAGGAAACATTATACGATTGGTTACAAATGATGACTAAATTAATGAGGAAATGTTCCTACCACCTCCTCCCAGGTGTTATTAAATTGAGGGATCTCAGGAAATAGAGGATAGTCTTATCTCCATTTGACAGGCAAGCAGCTTGCCCAAGGTCACAGAGCTGGGGAACTACAGAGGAAATACATGACCTTGGCCAAACGCTATCCTTTGTTCATAGCTTAACACAGCACCTGACACTACAAAGCAGCACAGGCACAACATGGTGGGCAATCAATAACTTGTCTATTAAGTTCTTCTCGTTGCTGTTTCCCTTCTTGATCCTGTTCCAAGTGGACACATTCCTACAGCTTTCTTCCCCAAACCTAGAATACTCTATATTGGATAAACTGAACTATTTACAGCTTAATTCCTCAGCAACTCCCTTCCCAGTATCTCGGTCTTTGCCCAGAGATACTCCTATACACATTAAGCCAACTTTCTTCTGCCCTTCCTAGTAAATTCTACAATTAATGAAAGCCTCCCTCAAAAGTATTCCCTGATGGCTATGGTTGTCTTCCAATGTACTGGAATCCAAGACCTAATGGCAAGTAATTGTCACAGAGACAAAATTGGGGAGGTGGGTAGGAGGTGGGGGTCCACTGTTTCTCCTTCCCCAAAAGAGATGCTATGTTAACAAGTGAATCTTTCTTTAGGACTCTGCTTAATACAAAGACATCAAAGGCAATAAGGAAATTCTGAGTATTAAGATGAAAAGATGTTATTATATTGGTAAAAATTTATTTATTACATGGCTACTATGTGGTAAGCACACCAGATGCCTTCAACTCCATTTTAACAAATGAGGAAAAAGAGGCTTCCAGAGGGTATATAATTTGCCAAAGATTAAAGAAAAAGTATGTGGATGAACCTGGTCTGCCAACTCCAAAGCCTGTCTTCTTTTCACCATGACAAACTAGGGCCTCTGTCCCCAATACAGAAGCTGAAGGGTACACATAAATCCTGAGTCAGCACTCTGGTAATTTAAGAATATGGTCCCACAAGCTAAGATTTAATGTACACTGATCAAGTAAGCTCCTTGAGAAAGCAAAGGCTCTCATAAGGAGGAAGCCCAATCCCTGCCCTCCTCTCCAAATACACATACACATAGGGAAGCAACCTCAGACTGCCAATTTCAGTTCCAACTGAAAGAAAACTGAGGATGAAGGAATTTCTTTGTTTACTAGAAATCCCAGGAAAGCAAATCTCTTCCAGATGTGGTCCCTATCTTTTGTCCACGCAGTAGCACAGAGAGCAAGAGATAACTTGTTTAGCATTTCTGATGTTTCCCATTATCCTGCAGGAATCATGGAAAGTGTGCAGAGAACCAATGAGGGCAGCTCAGCACAGCAACAGTTTTATCATCTGTGTTTCACAAAACTGGTAAGAAATATATATATATATATATATGTGTGTGTATATATATATATATATATATATATATATAGCAAAAATTGCATTTTTCTCTGCATCCCCTTCTCTCCCTTTAGAGACTTTTATTTTATTTTTTAAAAGATTTTATTTATTTATTTGACAGAGAGAGACACAGAGACACAGAGACAGAGACACAGAGAGAGGGAACACAGGGGAGGGGGTGGGACAAGCCAGGGGGGTGGGGGGGGCTGGGAAAGGGAGAAGCAGGCTTCCCAACGGGCAGGGAGCCCGATGTAAGGCTCGATCCCAGGACTCCAGGACCAGGACCCAAGCAGAAAGCAGACGCCCAATGACTGAGCCACCCAAGTGCCCTGGAGAAATTTTTTAAAATATTTTATTTATTTATTTGGGAGAGGAGAGAGCACAAGAAGGGGGAGTGGCAGAGGGAGAAGGAGAAGCAGGCTCCCTGCTGAGCAAGGAGACCGATGTGGGGCTGGATCCCAGGACTCTGGGATCATGACCTGCGCCAAAGGCAGACACTCAACCAACTGGGCCACCATCCTTCCCTCCCTTCAGAGAATTTATTTAAAATATCCACTATACCTAAATCTTACTAAGTGACATCCATTCCACTCTCTGAATAGGAATTTCCCAGCAACGTTCTTAACAATCAGGTTATGAAAGAAATAATACAGCTACTGATATTATTAACCAAAACAGAGATGTACAAAATCTAAAATAAACCAGCCTTTGGATATAGAAATAATGGCCACTAGTAATGCCAACTTGGATCACATAGTTCAGCAACACAGAACTTGAAAGAATCGCCAGAGGCTTCTGAGACCTTTTCTCCTTTCTCATATTCAACATATAAAACTTGAAGCTAACCACAGGCATACAACTACTGATGGCCCATAGAAAGGCAATGTGATCAACCTGCAGTCTTGAAACAGACAACAAGACTTCTCTATGGGACAGCAAACATGAAAGGGAAATAGGATTCTTTTATGTCCCACTGCTCCAAAGAAACTCCCCTTATAGAGATCTCCAAAGGCTACCATGCTTCTAAAGCCAAGGATTAGTAGCTTGAATACTGGCTACCCAAAGAGATTAAATCCTAACCCTGGAATCTGTAATCCCTGGAATTAATTTATCTGGAAAAAAAAGGTCTTCGTAAACAAATTAAAGATTCTGAGTTTACCCTGTATTATCCAGGTGGAGCCTAAATGATACCACAAGTGTTTCTGAGAAAGGGCAAAAGGAGTTTGGAGAGAGGCACAGGAGAGGAGGAGATATCAAGATGGAGGCAGGGACTGTAGGAGTATGGTCACAAACCCAGGAATGCTGGGACAGCTCACTGAAGCTGGAAGAGGCAAGGAATGGATTCTCCCCTAGAACCTCACAGAGAGAAGGCAACCCTGCCAGATTTTGGCCTTTCAGCCTCCAGAACTTTAAGAGAATAAATCTCTGCTGTTTTAAGTCATCCAATTTGTGGTAATTTGTTACAGCAGCCTCACAAAACAAATACACAATTAGGTCTCCGATCTCCTCTCACTCCCTCCCTCAATACCATTCATCCAGATGTACCCCTCTCGAAATTCCCTTTACTTTCACCTTCTTGTTCAGATTCTAGATCAAATTTACTACCCAAACCTAGTTTTCCTCACCTAACTGCTCTCTTATGGTCACCTTTGCTGGCTCCTCCTCCACAGTCAAGACCTTTACCTGGAAATCCCAGGGCTCAGTCCTCATTACCTCCACTTCTCCCATGGCTTTAAATATTCTATTTATACACTAAAGACTCAGAAATATTCACCCTCATCCCAAACCTCTTCAACTTGCTCCAAACTCATATATTTAACTGCCTATTTGACATGTCAACATGCAGCTCAAAGTCAACATTTCAAACTAGAACTTCCAATACTCCCAAACTTGCCTGATGCATTTTGTCCACCTTTGTAAATGCCAACATCTTCTTTCCAGTTGCTTAAGTCAAAAATCCTAGAAACCAGCTTTGATTTCCCTCTCTCCTATAGTCTCTCATACACAACTCTCAGCAAAATCCATTGTGTCAATCTCCAAAGAGACCTCAAATCTATACTTCTCTCCTTTCTCAATGCTTCCACTCTGGCCACCATTACCTCACACCTGGGCCACTGAAAATGACTTTTTATTGGTCTCCGCATTCCCACTCTTGACCACTTATAATGATTTTCCACAAAGCAATGAGGAATCTTTTAAAACTAAGTTAAATCATGTTGGGGTGCCTGGGTGGCTCAGTCGGTTAAGCGTCTGCCTTCAACTTGGGTCATGATCCTGGGATGGAACCCTGCATCTGGGTTCCCTGCCCAGCTGGGTTCCCTGCTCAGGGGACCCTGCTTCTCCCTCTCCTGCTGCCCTTTCCCCCTGCTCATTCTCACTCTCTCTCTCAATCTATCTTTAAATAATAATAATAATAATACTGAAAAATAAATTATTTTTATTTCTTGCTTAATGCCATCCAACAATTTCCTATGGCATTTAATATAAAATTCAAACATCTTTCCAAAACCACAATGTTCCCTCATGGTCTCACTCTGCCTACTTTCCCCTACCTCCTCTCTTTATTTCTTACAATTTTTCTCCCCTCATTTACTGCAT